CTGCCTTCGGCTCAGGTCATTATCCTGGAGTCCCTGGATCGAGTCCCGCATCGGGCTCCCTGCTCAGTGGGGATCTTCTTCTCCCTCTCCCATTGCTCCTCCCCGCACTTGTGTGCTTTCTCTCTCTGGCTCAAATAAAGTCTTTAAAAAAAAGTCACAACTCTACACAATAACTGCCATCAGCTCCATTTTACAGATGTGAAAACAGCAAAGAAATTGACTCTAAAGCCTATTATGAACTCTGCTGCTAATCTCATGTGAAAACACTAAAAAATTTTAAGAAAACCAACTCCAAATAACTATAAATTTATGAGCAAAAGGCATAATGTAAAAGGAGTCCAATTTGCTACTTCAGAGATCCGAGGTGTTCCAAAATAACCAACTATAAATTTGGGTTCTAAACCCAAGAAATATACTGAAAGTTAGGGGTGCCTGGGTGGCTCAGTCGTTAAGTGTCTGCCTTCAGCTCAGGTCATGATCCCGGGGTCCTGGGATTGAGCCCCGCATCGGGCTTCCTGCTCCGCAGGAAGCCTGCTTCTCCCTCTCCCACGCCCCCTGCTTGTGTTCCCTCTCTCGCTGTCAATCTCTCTGTGTCAAATAAATTTAAAAATCTTTAAAAAAAAGAAAGAGGGGGGCGCCTGGGTGGCTCAGTCGTTAAGCGTCTGCCTTCGGCTCAGGTCATGATCCCAGGGTCCTGGGATCGAGCCCTACATCGGGCTCCCTGCTCAGCGGGAAGCCTGCTTCTCCCTCTCCCACTCCCCCTGCTTGTGTTCCTGCTCTCGCTCGCTCTCTCTCTCTGTCAAATAAATAAATAACATCTTTAAAAAAAAAAAAAAGAAAATTCACCACCAGCACCTACAAAGTTTCTTTTCTAAAAAAAAAAAACCTTGAAATCAAAGTAAAATTGTGCTACTTTAAGTAAAAAGGCATAGTATTTTCCTATGTTCCAATCCATACAGAATTGGTGGTCGCTCTTTGGCAGGAAATATGACTTACCTTAATGGTGTCATAGGAGTCTGTAATCAGGGCAATGAACAGGCTGAGGATCATATATATGAAAAGGCTGATGAAGGAGTATAAGTACAGACGACTGAACAGCCACACCAAGACGCTCTTCTGCTGGATGTGAGCAAAGGTTGCAAACATGTCATCGCCATTGACTAGAGAAAACAGACACTCAGCAACTGTGTTCAGATCTTCAAACTGTAGGGGGGAAACCAAAATTAGTTTTTAAGAGGTGTGATCCAAAAAAGCAGAGAAGTATCTAATTAACGTATTTTGTTGTTGTCGTCATCACTATTATTAAATAACAGTCATTTTATTTTTTTTTAAAGATTTTATTTATTTGTTTGAGAGAGAGAGAGAGCATGAGCAGGTGGGGAGGGGCAGAGGGACAAGTAGACTCCCCCCCTGGTCAGTGAGCCCCATGCTCACCACCGGGGCGCCTGGCTGGCTCCGTCGGTTAAGCGTCTGCCTTTGGCTCAGGTCATGATCTCAGGGTCCTGGGATCAAGCCCCGGAGCCCCACATCAGGTTCCCTGCTCAGCAGGGAGTCTGCCTCTCCCTCTCCTTCTGTCTCCCCCCACCACCTGTTCTCTCTCTCACTTTCTCTCAAATAAATAAAATCTTAAAAAAAAAATAAATAAAACATCTAGAATATATCACAATAAGAAAACATTATCCAAAACTCTCCTCGGGGTGCCTGGGTGGCTCATTCTGTTAAGTGTCTGACTCTTGATTTTGGCTCAGGTCTTGATCGCTGGGTCCTGGCATCAAGCCCCTTGTCAGGCACTGTGCTCAGTGGGGAGTTTGCTCATCTCCCTCTCCCTCTGCCCCTCCCCCTGTGCACACTCTCTCTAATAAATAAATAAATCTTAAAAAAAACACTCTCCTCCATGCTTACAAAGAAAATCTCTCGATATTTTCCTCAGTTTTTTTCCTTTACACTTTGTGTATATTTGTGGTCATATCATCTAACAATTTTGGATCCTGATTTTTTTTTCTACTGAACATTGTCTTATGTTACTCACACTTAGAAAGCCTTTTTTTTTTTTTAATTAACAGCTCATTCCTTGGATGTCAGATTTAACTATTTCCCTTTGGCTAGAATCCCAATAATGTTCGCAATAATAAAAGACAATGTAATAAACATTTCTCAGCACAGTGTTTTTCCTGTTACTGGGTCTAATCTGCCAGACCGCTTTCTGAAAGAACAGCAGCTGCTGTGTTCTACAACCAGCAGAGAGGGAAATGGCTGAGACATAGCCCAGGCTCAAGAAAGTGTTGCTACATGGAGGGTTTTACCTTAGCCTCTCCAACCGCACATTAAAAACTAAAGATTTCCAAGGCTGGGGAAGTGTCAAAAGATGAAGGATCATGGCTCATACCTTCGAGGGGCTCCCGTGCTGACAGTGGACAGGCCATAACCTAGACACAGAACACCCTGTGGGAGGGCTAGGGTGCGCTGTGGAAGGAAAGTGGCCCAAAGACACAGATGTAGTGAAAAGAAGGGCCATATGCACCCCAATGCTCATAGCAGCAATGTCCACGATAGCCAAACTGTGGAAAGAGCCGAGATGCCCTTCAACAGATGAATGGATAAAGAAGATGTGGTCCACATATACAATGGAACATTACTCAGCCATCAGAAAGGATGAATACCCAACTTCCACACCAACATGGATGGGACTGGAGGAGATTATGCTAAGTGAAATAAGTCAAGCGGAGAAAGTCAATTATCATATGGTTTCACTATTTGTGGAACATACAGAATAGCATGGAGGACATTAGCAGAAGGAAGGGAAAAATGAAGGAAGGGAAAGCGGAGGGGGAGACAAACCATGAGAGACTATGG